TATCCCTTTCTGATGGAATCATGGCTCAGCCTAGGAGCTAGAAGACCAAGGTCTTCCTTGGGCATAATTGAAAATGACTAAGTACTATCTATGATGGGATGTTTGTGGGTAGTTGGTGGGTAGACTGTGGCAACACTCACAGGGTTGAGAGGAGACACTTTGGATAGGCTGGGCTTAAGGGCATGTGGGCCTTTGATCAGGAATGGAGACTGTTAGATGCAGCCAGAATGGCCCACATTTGACGGTGGTTGAAACTGAGTGAGAGGTCCAGAGGGCTCTGTGTACTGTCGGTTCCATTTTTGGGACTGCTTAAAGTTTTGATGATGGTGTTGTTGTTGTTGGTGATAATGATGAAAACATGAATAGGCAAAGAGGAATAAATTGTTTTTAAATGGTGTGGCTATGAAGGGAAGGGAAATGATCAGTAAGGAATGGGTTAATCCCAGGGATCTAAGAAGGATCTGTTTGTTAAAATGACCAGAAATGAATTTGAGCGTGTTTGAGGGTTGTGAGATATTTGATTACAATTTGTAAAGATATGTCACTGTATTGCAGTAAATAAGGATCAGGATAAACAAATAGGCCGAATAGATGTTTATTCAGGGAGAAATAACTTACAACCTAGACAGATGAACACCAGGAAATTCAACCCGATCCTCTCCTGTCCGAGTCACGCCAGAAAGAGAGCGCCTTCCTGGCCCCCTCCGACCTCCTTCCTCAGGTCACCTCCGCCCATCGCTCCACCCCCCCAATGGGCGTGGTCAGTGCTACAGAAGGACTACCTCACTACAATTCCCCTTTTAGTCTAAAGAAAAGATTTAGGCTTAATACAAAACTATATACAAAACAGTGAATAACAAGTGTGCTCTAAGAAAAGGAAAATCGAGAACAAAATGACCTACATATCTAGTCCTAGGGTGAGGGCATAATGGAGTTTACAATAGAGTTGTCCTAAGCTGGAAAACATAAGTCTAGTACCTAATATATCTAACTAGGAAGAGAGAATAATAGTTGTGATAGTTTAATCTTCAACCTCATCAAGACCTGAGAAGGAAAATAACAATACTAGAGTAGACAGGAAATGCAGATGGACAACTTCCAAAAGGTGCAGCAAGGACAGAAACAGCAGGCCACCTGAACAGTCACCCTAGGTCTCACAGCGACGTTGGTACACCCAGATTTGGCTAAGGCCAAGAGAACTTGACAGACCACAACAACAGCAGGGAAATAGAATGGCTGTCTTACCCTGACTTGGCAAGGTCAAGCAGTCTTCTATATTTGTCTCCTGCAAGCACATAGGACTGCATGTCCAAATCAGTGGTCAAGGTGGGGGCAATTCTATGCCCAACAGGCCATTAGCTGAGGCGAGATTGAACTCCAGCAGGAGCAACAACAGTGTCCAACATATTTTTGGGAAAGTGCACGGTGCTGTCAGGAGCAACAGTGTCTCATGTCAATGGAGTACTAATATTAAAACATTTAAATGCCATGTTCTGCATGTCTATGAAGTGATTGAAGATTAAGCATCTATATCTGACTAATCTCATAGGTACAGGAAATGTGAGTGAAGATAATCTGTAATACTCGGGAACTTAGCTAAAAGACTGATTAAAACTTTCCTGAGTAAAGCAGGAACAAATACTTAAACAATATAACTATTTACATATACCTACATGTAAATCCCTAAAATAGAGGTAGAGTATAAGTGTCAAGACAAGAGGTAGAACTATAAAGGGCAGCAAGATAAATATCCCAAATTGTATCAATATACAAAATGTCTTGAATACAGGAAAAGTATACATACATAGAATATGGTAAAAAATAATGTGCATAAATATTATAAGTGGAAACATTTAACACAATATAACAAAATATAAACTTAATTTTACATAGCTTACCACATAGGAATACATAACAATGTAAGCTGTAAAATACTATCTCATTCATACTCAAATTCTCAAGGAAATAGGCTAATCTACTTATATCCCATCTAAACCATACCTTTACCCACCATTCCCTATTCCTGTCTAAAAGATAAACCCGAGTGTAAGCATCACCCAATCCCAAATAACTAAAACCAACCCAAAGAGGATGACTATTATCCCAAAATTCCAAGGGTAGGGAAAGGGGGTTATTGCCTCTACCATAATCCTATTCTATTTACTGGAGAAAAAAAAAAAATTTCTCCTCACTGTCTTACCTTTAGAGCAGCTTGATCTCATGGTTTCTCAGAGTTGTTTTTATTTGCATTTGGCTGATGACTAAGGATTTTGAGCACTGTCTTATGTTTCTTTCCGTCACTTTTGAGTTCTCAATTGATAATAATTCTTTATTGAGTCCTGTATCCCACTTCTGACACCAGATATTGCGGTAAATAAGGATCAGGATAAACAAATAGGCCGAATAGATGTTTATTCAGGGAGAAATAACTTACAACCTAGACAGATGAACACCAGGAAATTCAACCCGATCCTCTCCTGTCCGAGTCACGCCAGAAAGAGAGCGCCTTCCTGGCCCCCTCCGACCTCCTTCCTCAGGTCACCTCCGCCCATCGCTCCACCCCCCAATGGGCGTGGTCAGTGCTACAGAAGGACTACCTCACTACATCACTGTGATTGGTTTAATTAAAAGCTGAATGGCCAATAGCTAGGCAGGTTTTTTGGATGCTGGGAAGAAGATAGGCAGAGTCTAGAGGAGATGCCTTCGATGCAGAACAAGCAGCATGGGCTATACAAAGTAAAGGTGACTGAGTCAGGTAAAAGAATGTAGATTACAGGTTAATTTAAGTTATAAGAACTAGTTAGAAATAAGCCTAAGCATGTGGGGCTGTGGTGGCACATGCCTTTAATCCCAGCACTCGGGAGGCGGAGGCAGGTGAATCTCTGTGAGTTTGAAGCCAGCCTAGTCTATAGAGCTAGTTCCAGGACAGGCTCCAAAGCAATACAGAGAAACCTGGTCTCAAAAAACAAAAACAAAAAAAAGAAAAGAAATAAGCCTAAGCTATTTCCCCAACTCCAAAAAAGTAGTAAGGTTTTTTGTGAGCTGGTGGCCCAAAGACAAATCCAACTACAGCTGAGCATTTTTCTTATACAAACACAAACCAGCCAAGAGTATATTGGTTATTGCTACCAAACTGCTGACTGACAAACCACTCTACAACTCAATGGCTTCTAGTCATATATAGGCATATAGCCACAGATCCATGCTGGGCTTGGCTGGTATGACTGACTGACTGGCTTATCCATGCTGGGCCTGGCTAGGCTGGTATGGCTTAGCATTGTTCCTCTAGTCTTTTCTTCTTGGAACAGGCTAGTACAAAAATGTCATCGTCAGGACAATGGCAAAGGTAAAGGGGCCACAGACAAGTTTTCTTGAGACTTAGGCTTGGAAATAACACACTATTTCTCCTGATTAATAGCCAAAAGTCACCTCAATGTTGGGTTCAGAATCCAAGGATGAGAGAATTTCCAGCCCCCTTTGTGATGAAGAACAAAGTGATTCCCCAACTAGAACCTGGATGCAATAGTTCTAAGTAAATCTTCAGCTTTGACCCTCTTGACTCACCCCCCACCCCCACCCCCACGAGGCATGGTTGAGATGTTGGGGCCTGAGAAGGGACCCGATTCCTAGCTGGGTTCCATATTGTCTACCAGGGTTACAGCTAAGAGGACAGATAGGAGAAGATTGTATGCAAAGTCCAGGCTGCTTGACTAAGACCAAAGTCCTTGGAAAACCAACAGTCACAGGGGCAGAACCATTTCAGAATCTTCTAGAAACTGATCTTTAGAGAAAGGCAAGGGCAGGCAGACTGGTAGGGAGAAGACCAGAGTTAGAAGGGAGTGTCTGAATCTGGAGTTGAGCAGATGGAGGTTGAGGAAGGGAAGTGGGAAGGCAACTGGATCGAGAGACGGCCAGCAATACACCCATGCACAAGGGACATGAATACAAGGAGTAAAGGAGTGAGCATGAGAGCCCATGTGGACACACAGAAAATGACCTGTGAAAGAACAAGTCTCTTATACAAAGGCCTTTCTGCAATTGATTTGTTGAGAGCCCCTGTCTCCCTCCAATCGACGTCCCCCTTTTTTCTTTTTCTTTTGTTTTTGTTTTTGTTTTGTTTTTTGAAACAGGGTTTCTCTGTGTAGCCCTGGCTGTCCCGAAACTAACTCTTTTGTAGACCAGGCTGGCCAGATCCACCTGCCTCTGCCTTCTGAGTGCTGGGATTAAAGGCATGTGCCACCACCACTGGACCAATCAATCCCTTTTCACGTGTATTAGTTTGGGGTAAAGTGAGTTGACATTCTTCAGTAAAGATATTCAAGACAGCTAGGAGGTGGTGGCTCATACCTTTAGTCCCAGCACTCTAGAGGCTGAGGCAGGTGGATCTCTGTGAGTTCCAGGCCAGCCTGGTCTACAGAGCAAGTTCCAGGACAGCCAGAGATGCTACTCAGAGAAACACTGTCTCAAAAATCCAAAAAACAAACAAAATTAAAAAACCAAAAATTCTTGGTTATCTTAATTCTAATAATAAGATCAGTTCAGCCCTTCATAGACGCATACCATCTTTTGGTAAAGCATTCAAAAAGGTATTTCAGTCTCTGCCAATACAGACATTAAATCAAGAGAAGGGAAAGAGGAAATCCTACGATTGAGAATAGCCACAAACACGTGAGATCTCAAGCACAAAAAGAAAGTCGACAAAACATTAAACCAGCGCATTCGATCTCAGAAGTTACTGTTTAATTGGTCCTGATAAGCTCTGGGCTTTGGAAATTCAAAACTATCCACGTGACTCGAATGCGCACACAAGCCTGGGGTTTGTGGCAGGAGGCAGAGGGAAAGCCTGGAATGTGAAGACCAGGCCATCTTATTACACCAGGTTGGTGCTAAAGTTCCTTAAGCAGTGTTTTCGCTTTCTGTAAGGCCAGGACCGCTAAGCAAAAGCCTGACTAGTCCTCACGGACGCACGCGCAGTCAGGTTCCTTCGCTGGGCCTCTCAGAGCATGCGCAGTCGAGGCGCGGGAGGTTGGTGGGCGGGACCTAGAGCCCTGCGGGGCAGCGTTCCCGGAAGTGTGGAACGTGTCGAGCGGTGCGTTGTTGTTTTGTGTCCGACGTTCCGGAAGACCCACGCGGCTGCCGCGCTTCGGCCCCGGGAGCGGCGCCGTCGCCCTGGAGCCGCGGGTCTCGGTCGTGGAAGCCGTGTCATCCTTGACCATCGCGGACGCGTTCGTTGCGGCCAGTGAGGGTCCCGCCCCACCGCGTCCCGCGCTCCCCAGCAGGTTCATCTGCTCCTTCCCCGATTGTGGCGCCAGTTACAACAAGGCCTGGAAGCTAGACGCGCATCTGTGCAAGCACACGGGGGAGGTAACCTGGCCGCGGATGCGAGTGCTGAGCCCGGCGAGGGGGTTGCGTCTTGGGCTTGGCCGGGGAAGGCGCTGAGCAAGGACGGAGGTCTAGGGTAGCCCTCGCCCGTCATCTTTAGTTGGGGGTCAGACCGGTACAGAGATCTGGAAGTCAGCCACCACTAGACACACCTATCCAGAAAATTGCCTCATAGAGCTCCTGCAGGAGAAAGCTTAAGGGTTCTTGCTAGCAACAAGTGTGCATCCTTTGAACCGCAGGGGGGCCTTGGTAAGGGGTGGACAGGTAAAGCCTTCCTGTTCAGCTATTTCCCCTGGCCCTTCTCGTGGTAAACTTACCTACTGCTGCCATCACTCATAACATCCTTTATGACTTTACCTGCTCTTCTCCTCGCCCATTCTATTCCCACATTTGTCCCTGTGTCCGAATCAGAGCTTGCCTTTCCTTTTAGACCAGAATGCTACACTTAGGTTGGACACTAAGTTGTGTTTATTGTTCCAAGAATAATTTGACTATTATCGACCCTACTCAGGTACTGGAGCTGAACAAGGTTCTTTGACATTGCCGGGCAGTGCGGCTCATTTGTCTCTTCCTGTCCCTTGGCTGTCTAGTACTGAGATTGAGGTCTTTGTACCACCCTCCTGGATTTCAGAGTATTTCCGTAGTTAGGTACACCAAACTGGATGTTGGGACATGATACATCTTTCCTGTGGATCCACCAGAGCATCCCTTCCCCTCCAGGGTTCTGAAGGGAGTTTGCAGTTACCTTTGGGAGCTGTTTTGTCCTTGCACCTATGAGCTTTTTCAACTGTGACACATTTTCCTGTATCGGTGCTTCTGACATCTCTTAGTACCCATACTGAGCTCTCCTGGGATGAGACAACTGCTCCTTCCTCTGCCCCGAGTTCTCTTTGGCTGGTAAAATGATGCTGTGGGAGAGATGTGCAAATAGGCCATATGTGTGCATATTGAGGTAATCCTGAAAAGGGGTTTGCTAGGGAAGCCTGGTCCCCAAAAGGAGCAGGTTAGCCTGCTAATTTGGGCTTCTATTACTGTACCAAAACACCATGACCAAAAAGCAAGTTTGGAGGAAGAGTTCATTAGGGTTATACTTTTTTTATGGAACCCAGGACTAGCAGCCCATGGACGGCACCATCCCCATTGATCACTAAATGAGAAAGTGCTTTATAGCTGATTCTCAGAGAGGCAATTGCCTAGCTGAGACTCCTGCCTCATGACTCTAGCTTGTGTCAAGTTGACACACAAAAGCAGTGTCTGTCCACAAAACAAATATCTGGAACTTGGTAGAGGATTAGCTCTTGCCTAAGTGTAGCAGGTGCTTTCTTGAATGGACACATCCCTGGAGGAAGTCCAAGGCCTTCCACAAACAGACTTTTAACTACTGATGAGGTGGTTGGGGGTGGGGCATTTATAGCTAGACTGACTCCTGAAAGCAGCACACACACACTAAAAATGTGAAATTTTCCTTCTTCCCCTTTTCTCTGCCAGAGGCCATTTGTGTGTGACTATGAGGGCTGTGGCAAGGCCTTCATCAGAGACTACCATCTGAGTCGACATGTGCTGATTCACACTGGAGAAAAGGCGTTTGTGTGAGTAGGGGTGGACTAGGCCTTTGGAGTGCGTTCTGTTTGGTATGTAGCCTGGTGGGGTGATTGCTGATTCATGATTAAGACTGGAGGGTGGTGAAATGGCTTAGCAGGTAGAAGCACTTGCTGCCAAGCTTGACAACCTGAACTTGATCTTGAAGTGTCATTTGTGGCTCAGACTGGCTCCTGTCACAAGCAGTGGTTTTGTGCTGAGATCATATGAAGTCCATGTCCCTTCTGTGTCATCAATAGGCTGAGCTTCTGTGTTCTCTCTCCTTACCTCCCACTGTGTGCGTTGCCCTCAGAAATGAAACTGTGGTCCAGCTGTACTTAACACTTTCCACTCGTTTGACAGGGTCCTTCTTGCCCTTGCGCCTGCTATTTGGTTCCTGCTAGGATTTGTGACCTGCATTTGTGTTAAAATGTCTGTGTTGGCTTTAGAGTGAAGAGAAGATAAGGTCAAGGCGTTTACACATTGGGCTGTTTGTGTTCTGATTGGAGTTCAGAAGTAGAATTGGAAAGTGTGGGGTGCTCCAGGGTCTTCAGCGACTGGGCTCCAAATTGACCTCTCTATGCCATTCTCGTCTTGGGGCTTCAACCATATGGTTTAAGATGCCTGTTTGGTGCCCTGCTGTTCCAAGGAGGGCAGTAGATACTGCTGTCCCCATTTCAGGCACTGTAAGAGTTGAGTAGGATGGCTTGAATTTAGCCATGTGGTCACCTCTAATTGCAGGAGCAGTGGGGAGGAAGCTCAGGTACATAACAGCTGGTATGGCCTCTGCACTGGACCCCCTCAGTGTGTTTGCTGATCCCTTGACTCCTTGCCCAGATGCACAGTGCCTGAGGGGGTCTTTTCATGCAGTGAGATTAGGGAAGGGTCCTTGTTCATCTCTCAGGGCCATGAACTCCTCACAAGGGACTTAACTCCTTCAAGGCCAAGATTCCAACACAAGGGGAAATGGATTAGCCTAGTGACATCCCAGAGGTGACAGTGGGTCACAGTTCAGTGTTTTATCTGTAGTGACAAAACTAGAGTCAGGCTCTTTTCCTCCTTGAAAGTGAAGTTTATGATGATAAAGGAAAATTATTAGATTCTAAATGGCCGGGCGGTGGTGGCCCATGCCTTTAATCCCAGCACTTGGGAGGCAGAGGCAGGTGGATCTCCATGAGTTGAGGCCAGCCTGATCTTCAAAGAGAGTTCCAGGACAGGCTCCAAAGTTGAGGAACCCTGTCTTGAAAAACCAAAACAAACCAAAAAACTAGATTCTAAATGAAAGTAGTTGACCATGAGCAATGTTGGACCCTTAGCAGCAGTCAGGCATCCAGTGTATCTATCCTCCTTTTATCAGGGTACAGGGATGGGTGACCCAGTGTGTATTTTGCTCAGAGTAGAAGTACAAAGCATCCTGTTACACATCTGTCCAAGCTGAGGCCTGCATGACATGGTTTGGCATGGGGGATTGTTTCTACACACACCCACATACCCACACAAGACCTTCCCCTGAGCCATAATCTCAGCTTGACAATTTGGAATTTACTAAAAGGCTACTTTATAATGTCATTTGGAATCATCAGCTTTTTATAAAGTAGAAGGATGTTCACATCTTTTTTTTTTAAAATACTGTTTTATTATTTTATGTGTATGGGCATTTTGGCTACATGTATTTCTGTGTTGTGTGTGGGCATGATGCCTGTGGAGACTAGAAGCACATGAGATCTCCTGGAACTCCTGGTTACAAGGCACCATGTGGGTGCTGGGAACTGAACCTGGGTCCTCAGCAAGAGCAGCCAGTGCTATTAGCCAGAGCTGAGCTCTCTCTGAAGCCCCAGATGTTCACATTCTAAACCTTCTTTCACCTTGGTGTGTTATAGTTTGGTTCATACAATATCTTGCAGTTGTGAAGATAATGGCTGTAATCAGAAATTCAACACAAAATCGAACTTGAAGAAACACATTGAACGCAAACATGAAAACCCACAGAAACAGTATGTAGTGAGTATGGCTTTATGTTTCAACTTTGGCTACCAAAGTGAGTTTGTATAGACCAGATGTTGTCTTGCTGGATGTGTGCAGTCCAGCACTGGCTGTCCTCATCATACAAGTTTTCATTTTGCACTCTCGCTTTGGGCACATGTGTGTTACTGACTGTCACGGCAGCAGAAGCTTATTGGCTTTTCTAAATGTCATTGCTCTTTCAGTTGTTGAGATGAAGCATCTCACAGGGACTAAGTGGGTGACAGTTTATATTCCCCGAGGCACTTAGATTGAGAAACTTGTTTAATTTAAAAAGTTTTATTCATTTTATTTTATGTGCATATTGTGTCTTCGACCACATGCATGCTTCCTGCCTGTGGAGATCAGAAGGGGGTGTCAGTTCCTCTGGAACTAGAGTTAGAGATGGTTGTGACACACCAGGTGGGTGCTGGAATCCACACCTGGGAGAGAGAAGCAAGTGTTCTTAAGCTGAGTCACCTGCAGTCCTTGAGAGGACTTTCCTTTACTAAACAGTGCATTTATGTTTTAACAGTGCAGTTTTGAAGGTTGCACGAAGGCCTTTAGGAAACACCAGCAATTGAAAACACATCAGTGCCAGCATACCGGCGAGCCGCTCTTCAGGTGGGTGCTTTGCTGACACTCTGGAGTTCAGATTGAAGGGCAAAGATAAGGGTCCTGAGCAAAGCTGTCGTGTGTGCCCATGGGACGTAACAATTCTATTGTTCCCATTTCTCTGAAAACCATTCTGCACGGGGGAACAGCTTATGAGAATCTTGCAGCTGTGGTTAAGCTTGAAGGGAAGGTGAGGAACCACCTGTTCAGTATTGTGACATGACATCATGAAGGCTCTTTCTCTATAGAACAGAAATAATTGGGCTTCATTTGCAAGAGGGTTTCCTGAGTACTCAGGAGGACGTGTGTGCACGTGCGTGCCTGCCCGTGTGGTGTCTCTGCACAGCTGGGCTGACCAGGATCCTGCTTCTGGCTCCCACAGGCTGCCCTTTGCCCAGGTGCTGCTGTAGTGACAGTGCTGTCTTACCCACAGGCCTGTGACCTGTCTCTGCTGCCCGTGGCTGTGATGCTGTACTGTGTGCAGTTTTCACTAGTTCTGCGGATTCAGCACTCTACCGTTTCCTCAGTTAACCTGAAGCCCCAGCATCTGCCATTTTCTTTCCTTCTCCCTTTCCTCCTGTTGCTTCCCTTTTGTTTTCTTGAGATAGGGTCTTGCTGCAAATCTCAGGCTAGTCTTAAACTCTCACTCAGTGGTAAAGTCCATGCCCAGCAACCAGTGCCATTTGTTTTTGTTGTTGGTTTTTTGAGACAGGGATTCTCTGTGTAGTCCTAGCTGCCCTGGAATTGGATTTGTAGACCAGGCTGGCCTCAAACTCATAGAGATCTGTCTGCCTCTGCCTCCCAAGAGCTGGGATTAAAGGCGTGCACCACCACACATGCCATTTGTTGTTATTTTTCTGGTGCTAGTCCCCACTGAGCTGCACCTGTATTGTGTTCTTATCTGATGACGTGTAACATATTGGGTACACAATAGACAAATAGCTCAGGATAGTCCAATGTCACCTGAATCAGGTCAGCTGGCTTCTTGAAGTGGCTTCTATAACCACAATACAGGATATTATCAGAACTATGAAAACTGACATAAACAAAAGATATGTGACTTTTTCTCAAAATAGCTTGTTTTTCTCCAAAGCTCACCGAGTCACTGGTGTATTTAGGGCTCTACTGAATCTTTATTTTGGTAACAGGTTTGATGTGGGAATCGATGGGCTCTGGTGAGGGGATCTCAGCAAGCTTCTCCCTGGAAAAGGACTGGCTAATGCTTTCACGGGTTGCTTTCCCAGGTGTCCCCAGGAGGGATGTGGGAAGCACTTCGCCTCACCCAGCAGGCTGAAACGGCACAGCAAGGTTCACGAGGGTACGTATAGATGGGCACTGTGCCAGCACAGAGGAACAGACCAGCAGCAGCATGTGCTCGCTGCTCAGGTTGCTGGGTGTCCTTGGTCTGCTCCATGGTCTCACTAAGTACATAGTACATACATAGAGCTGTGTGGCAAAGGACACTGACCAGTTATTTGGGTCTTGGTCTCTTGTCACTGCCATTTAAACCTATGCTGTACTATTCCTGAGCACCCAGCTGTGCTTCAAAGGTTAGTAATAACCCCGTGTACCACCTTTGTGTTTCTTTTTCTAGTTATACTCTAAAGTTTGCAAAAGATTTAGGTAGTCGAAATTTGCAGAGCAGTGAGCAGAATAAACCCACTTCATTGTAGCTAGCAGAGTGGCACAGTTCTGAGAGAGGAAGAGAGACTACAGGGGCATGCCATTCCTTCCTGGATGTCGTCAGGGTTTGCACTGGGTGGATTTTCAGAACATGCAGTGGATACTTTTTTGGTTTTTTTGAACAGGCTATCTCTGTCAAAAGGGATGTTCTTTTGTGGCAAAGACATGGACAGAGCTTTTGAAGCACATGAGAGAAGCCCACAGAGGTAAGTGAATGTGCAGCTGAGGAAGAACATTGGCTCTGGGGAGCTGATGGCATGCTTTATTTGGAAAGGAGTGAAACACAGGTGCTGGAAAGGAAGGGGGCTCTGAATGATGTATGTGTAGTGCTGCCTTCCTGGGTTGCCAACGGGGTGCTGCAGATGTCTTGAGTTGGCATTGCTATGCCCACGGCTTTTGTGAGGTGCACACTGTGGCTCTCCAGGGCTTCCTGGGAAATGCTGCTGTGTGTCAGAGGACAAAGGCGGACACGATGGACAATAGTTCTTGCTGCCTAGTCACCATGCTAAGGTTACCTGCTCCTTGACAAGTGAGGAGTCAGCAATGTTGGGAGCCATGAGAGAACTTGAGAGATTCAGAGGCAGTCGCTTTAAGTATCCTCCAAAGTCCCTGGCTTGTTTGTAGTCCCAGGACTACACTTGTATGGTAATAGATAGACATTGGTTAAATGAGTGTCTCCCCACCAGAGGAAGTCACCTGTGCAGTATGTCAGAAGACATTCAAGCGCAAAGACTACCTTAAGCTGCACATGAAGACTCATGCTCCAGAAAGGGAGGTGTACCGCTGCCCGAGAGAAGGCTGTGGGAGAACCTACACCACTGTGTTCAACCTGCAGAGCCACATTCTCTCCTTCCACGAGGAACAGCGTCCATTTGTGTGTGAGCATGAAGGCTGTGGCAAGACTTTTGCAATGAAAGTAAGTGTCCTGCTCCAAGCTGGGGTGGTCCTCATGCTCAGCCTGCAGAATCTCCAGGTTTGACAAGACCAGATGTTTTCAGTGAGAATGGAGAACTCGTTAGAAATGCAGAACCCCAGATCCCCATTCTGACCCAGCTGGGCCAGAAGCCCACCTGCTTATTTTAACAAGCACATTTGGGCAGTAGTTCTCAATCTTTCTAACGCTGCCACCCTTAAATACAGTTCCTCATGTGGTGACTCCAAGCTATAAAATTATTTCATTGCTACTTCATATCTGTAAAGTTGCTACTGTTATGAATTGTGATATAAATATCTGATATGCAGGATGTCTGATAGTCAACTCCCCAAAGGGGTTATGACCCACAGGTTGAGAACCACTGCTGTAGGAGATTCTGGTTGTGCTGAGTGGGAGAGCCAGGGTCCTTTATCTCCACTTACTTAGAGACTTATACTGTGTGAGCTTGCAGACCGTCACATGGTGCTTGAGAAAGGAGGTGGGTAACACAGATGGGCCAGCTCTGGGATCTTGGCGTGATTCGCAGGGTCAGATGGGAACATGGTTCCTAGTGAGGACTGTGCAGTTTGCTTCAGCCTAGCTATGCCTTAAGAGCTCTTAATATGGATTCTACACTCGCCAAGCACAGCTCAGATAGGTCCACACCACAGATGCTGTGGTGACCATTTGTCAGTCAGCAGGGCAGAGGCCAGATTTCCATCTGGCGGTTAGGCATGGGATTGAGATGAGAGGTTCAGCTAAGCAAGCATGAGCTTTGAAGTTCAATCCTAGCAGGCTTCCCTTCTCAGGAAAGATCTAAGTCAGTAGGTGGGATGGAGCAAATTCCCAGCATGGTCCTTGGAAGACTGTAAAAGTCACTCTGGTAAGGAGTCAAGTCATCCTTAGGCTCTGCTCAGGGAGTTGGGTAGAAGTCAAATTCATTCATAACAGAAAGGCAGCTGGTAGTTTATTACACCATCTCATGACATTTTAATGCCAGTAGACACCAAGAGTCGTTAATTTTTTAAGAAGCTAATTACTAGAACCAGCATACAGGTGGTTGTTAGCTGCCATGTGGTTTCTGGAAACTGAACCCAGGTCCTCTGCAAGAGCGGCACATGCTCAAACCACTGAGCCATCTCTCCAGCCCTGACCAAGCTTCTTTTTCCTGCACTGCAGCAAAGCCTTATGAGGCACAGCGTCGTGCATGATCCTGACCGGAAGAGGGTGAAGCTCACAGTAAGTGGAGCTGCTGGGCCCAGCCCTCAGCATGCTGTCTGCTTGCCACCTGCCCCACTGCATGTCTGTGCCCACCTGTTGAATGGTGGGAGTCCATCCAATGGTTAATGTTGTGACACAAGTAATTCAGTTGTCTGTTTCCTTTTAACTCCCAAAGGTAAAGCCACCTCGGGAAAGACGGAGCTTGGCCTCTCGCCTCAGTGGGTACTTCCCTCCTAAAAGGAAACAGGAGGCAGACTGCCCTGTGTCTAAAAGCGCAGAGTCCAGCAGCAGCCCGGAAGGCAAGATGCTGGTGCCAGCTACATCATTTACTCTGCACTAGTACCACAGGCTGTGTGAGGAACTCCAGGGCAGCCAACAGGAGCTTCTGCACAAACCTGGGTTTTTTGTTTTTGTTTTTTTTTAATTAAAGTTCCTGACACAGAACACCTGATTCCTTGTTTCTGTCATCTTTGTTCAAAGTGTCTCTTCCCTCAGTCTCCTGAGAGTCTCTGTACGCCTTCTCTTCTTTCTTGCTCAAGGGACGAAAAACACACTTGGAGGCGGTTCCTCCTCTAACAGCTTTTGGTCTGCTTGAGAAGGTGGCTATCCCAGGCATAGTCTGGAGAATCTGGTTAAATATCTCATCCTACAAAGGACAGCAATGCAAGGTTAGTTTAAACTTAGTGTCTGAAGCTGTGGTGAAATTAAGCATGAACCCTGGAGCAGCTGTGCAGGGCTGGTCAGTTCCTACATCTGCTTGTGTGACTGCCATCTGCACAGGGAATCCATATGCTAAACTAACACTGGACTGCAGCCTCTGCTCTGTCACAGCACCAAGGGGCTACAACTAGCCCACCTATGCTTTCCCAAAATCAAGGGCTGGGTTTGGGCCTTCCTGATTCTGAAGTGAGGGAAGTAGGTACCCTCTGGTCTCCAGAAAGTCTGAACTATTCAAGCAGCTTAGGTTGAAAACTCACTGTACCAGTGCCACCTTTGGTGGTGAGAAAGTGAGCAAGGCTTGGAAACCAAACAGCACAGAAACAATAGGATTCTAAGGAATAAAGCTATCCAGAGAACAGGTGAATAGAAGAGAATCCTATGACCTATCTCCTTTTTTATATTTTAAATGTTAGCCATTAAGTAGTTTTTAAAATATAGCTTTTACATAACAAAAATTTAAGGGGATATGGGTATCCTACCTGTGTGTATGTATATATGTGTATCACATGTGTGTGGTACCCAGAGGCCAGAAGAGGACTTCAGATTTCCTGGAACTGGAGTTATATACTTGTTAGCTGCCATGTGGATGCTGGAGACTGAACCTGGGTCCTAGTGCGAACAGTCCATGCTCTTGACCACTGAGCCATCTCTCTAGCCCCCAGAACAGACTATGTGGCAAATATGTTATAATGGGAAAGGATACAGTAAGTGTACATACAGCTTGACACTAGGAAGCTGGTACCATCCAGGTGGTAGAGTTACTAGTCAGTGGCTTTGCCTGTTAGTCTTTCTGCATCCGAAAACCAAGTCCCAGCCAGCACTCACACCTACTCACCATCTCATTCCCTGGCTGCTCAGCATTCTTCGCCTTCTTTATTGTGACTTGAACATGGTACTTTTTCTCAATCCACTGCTGAATCTGCTTACTCTTTGTGTCTAAATCATGCTGTCCAATATTTGAAGAAAAAATGAGCTCCTTTGTCATAGCTGGTCCTGGTGGAAACAGTGCTGTTTACTGCTGGGTGTTTCTGCTCTGAAAGCTCAGCTTCTACCCACATTGCTTAGAGTTCAGGCCCACAGGCTCTGACATGACAGCCTTCATCTCATTTCAGCCTCATGGACTGTTCACTGCTTTTTCAAATGGGGGAGACAGGCATAAAGGTTAGTTTTTAATGTGCAAAACAATAGCTAAAATCTGCGAAGGCTTGTGTGTGGGTGTGTGTGTGCTTGCATGTGCACGCAGTCAGGACAACCTGGAGTGTGGTCCTCACCCACTTTGAGAAATGGTCTCGTTTTCACACTACTCCAGGGTCACCTCCAACCACTCTCCTGCCTCTTACTCCCATCTGCCCAAAGAGGCCCGCTTGGAGTACAGCTGAGACTGAATTTCCCTTGGCTCTGGGATTCAAGCTCATGTTTGTGCATAAGCAAGCACTTTCACCCACTGAACTCTCACACACCATGTTAGACTGGGGGTGGGTCTGGAGGAAGACCATCTAAGAGAAACAATGGGGTAACTCACAGAGATGCTGTTCAGACAGCAAAAGGAAACCTTAAGACAAGCCGTGGCTCCTCACTGCTGAAAATGAGTATGACAGCAGCAGGAACATAGAGAAGCTTCATCCCAGGCTGCCACTGCAGCCTGGCCTGTTAAGGCTCACAGAAGCCAGGGTACACATGAGCACTTTTTTGTTTGTTTGTTTGTTTGGTTTTTTTTTCCAAGACAGGGTTGTAGCTTTGGAGGCTGTCCTGGTGTAGACCAGGCTGGCCTTGAGCTCACAGATCTACCTGCCTCTGTCTCCTGAGTGCTAGGATTAAAGTGCACCATTACTGCCCGGCTTTATTACTTATAGGCCTTTACATATCAGAAGTTTTTAGCATGCGCTTGTTTCCCACCAGTTGGCTCTGGGTCTCCATCAGAATGGAGTAAAGCCTGGCAGACTCTCCAGTCTGCTGCCCCACATTTTCTGGCTCAGACATGGTTTGATATCCTGACTCCCTGAACCCCCAGTTAGTTTTCTAGGAATGCCTGTTTTCTGGTTTTCTTTCCTCACAGCGTTCAACCTCATACAGTGGGCCAGTCCCCCAATCCTTGTCACAGTGTGAGACCCATGGAGCAGTATTCCATACCTGGCAGCCATAAAAGCCAACCCCTCCTCATTTTAGTGCCCAGTTCCTGGCCTCCAAGTGGCTTCTATGACAGGTGCCTGAAAGTGACTGGCCATGTACTGTGAAGCTTTTCAGGATTTACAAGGTGTTTGAAAAGCACAATGACAGGAAGGAGGTCAGATCTGGGACACATCTCGAGTTCACTTCATTGTCCTATAAGCCACATGGCTCACCACTGCATTTGGAGCCCAGGCTACAAGATGAAGGCGACTTCCATCCCTTTGGACTGTTTACCTACCCCCCCCCCATTTGACAGTTTTAAAAGGAGAGATGATGGACATAGGACATCAAAAATGAGGGGAAGGGAACAGAAGTGAGGGATGAAGGAGGAGCCTCCCTGCAACGATGGTGAAAGCAGAAACATCAGTCTTCAGTTTCTCATGACCCACTGACACCTTGGCAAACACAAGGGTTGAGCTCTGAAGCAGTGGTTCTCCACCTCCCTAATGCTGTGGCCCCCTTAATACAGTTCCTCATGTTGTGGTGACACCCAACCATAAAATCGTCTCATTGCTGCTTGATGACTGTGATCCTGCTGTTTTAAATCGGAATGTAAATATCTGATATGCAACCTCTGTGCAAACAGAGTCTTGACCCACAGGTTGAGGACCACTGTTCTGATGCATGCAAGACACAAACATTAAAGCACCTACCAGTTTTGGGGTTGGTCTTTTCCTGTTCACGAAGCCTTAGCCGCTCCTGGTGGATCTGTGCTCCAGTCATGAGCTGGTATTTGGGTGGCTCTGAACTGGCATTCCTTTGCACCAACCTTAAGTCCAGCTTGTCCATGAGTCTGATCACATCTGCTCGGTGCATCATTCCCAGGTCATTGCCTTTCTCATCCAGGACGCGGATAACCCGCTCACTAATTTTCCTTCCAGTGTTAGTAAAAGCATCTTTCCTTTTCTGTCTCTTCTCACTGAGGGTGTCTCCATCAGTACTGAAATCTTTGGCCCAGATGAGGTGCAAGAACTTTGGGGTGCAAGAAGCCAGGGACAGCTGTGCTGGGTCTGACTTCACAATGTGTTTGCTGAAACATGTTCTAATTGAGGTTTGTAGTGTCAGCCTGTTCAGAAGAGCAGCCATCCTAACAAAGTAATAGGGGAAGTTTATTACAACACAAACACTGGTGCCATGGGCACAGGTGAGGCTGTGAGCCTTATGGCACACAGGGCACCAGACTGTAGGAAGGCAGCACCAAGACATGGCCTCTTGGCTGGCACTGTCCCTGGTGCAGCATGGCACGACTCTTCCATCCCAATGTTTCCTTCCATATCCACAGCTTCTATTTCTCCTAGATCCCACAGTGCCTGCTCAAGAGTGAAGTTTATCTAGTGGTTTGTGTATGAGGATGAAGCAGAAATGCCATTTCAGGGGCTGCAGAGGTAACCGGAACCTTAAGGGTCCTCTGCTCTTCCAGAGGACCTGGGTTAGATTCCCAGCACCCACAAGGCATCCGTATGTTCAACTGTAACTTGAGGTCTGGGCATCTGACGCCCTCTTCTGGCCTCTGAGGGGACTACACATATGTGACGCACAGATACACATGCAGGCAAGCACTTGTCAAATACAAGAAACACAAAAAATTTAATGGCATTTTGATTTTTTTCAAAAAAAGCACCTTTACTACAAACAATAAAAAGTGCTGCTCTCCCTTCTCATGGTGGTCCTTGTACATACGTATACACCTTTAATCCCAGCACTCAGGTGGCAGAGGAGAGGCAAGTAGATCTCTATGAGTTCCAGACTAGCCTGGTCTACACAGTGAGACTTTATCTCAGAAAAAAAAAAAAAAATCAAATTCATGATTATTACTTATTATTCAAAATTCTTTATTAGGGTGTGGGAACTTGGCTCAGTGATAGAGCATTTGCCTAAAATGTGCAAGACCCTTTATTCCTCAGCACTAATCTTTGTGTAGAAACAATGCAATGAACAGCATGTGTTGAAACTGGGTTCATCCTCCACCCTCACCTGGCTAGGACCGGTTACAAAGTGGCTACTAGGCCATCAGCAAACACTGTGGTGCCCATCTTGGTCTTTTTAATGATGACAATCCGGTCCTGACAGACAGTTCTTATACCAGATACCCGGTTTCCAGCTTTTCCTGAATGCGTTATAATTTTGTTGGGTGGTAATATTTTATTTACAGTTTGGCAGCATGAAGAGGCTCCCTCCAGCCAGTTGTATAATTTAAACATTACGGAAAATGGCTGTAATTCCCTTCAACACACCTAAAATGAAAACATCTATTAGGCTGCTAATTGCTACCGTGTGTCACTGTCACATCCCAGCTCCACTGAAAACTGGTAAATTGGTAGTGAAACAGAAAGAGCTGAGCATTTATTGTCTCTTTAGGGAAAACTGTGTCCATCTATGCTGATAAGGAAAAGCTCTTTTCCAAGTATGAAGGTAATTAAAATAATAATAAAAAAATCACCACTTTGCTACCAATGAAAATGGCCCATTTCAGCAACAATCAAACACCTCTAGGTACAAGGATGATGTCAAGAGGTCACCCATACTCTGCCTTGAGATCAAATATGCAAAAGCACTCTGCCAAGGAAGCTGTCACTATCATGACCAAAGGTCAGAGGTCCATCACCACCAGGAAACAACATCACACATCAGCAAATAGCCAATGCTTGCCACAACACAGCCTTGTCCCCAGGCAATCCAAAGCTGGCCCACCTTACCACTGAGCTTCAAGAACAAGGCCAGGTCCAGAGAAGAGGGAACTAGAGGACACCACAAGGGAGTGAAATCCCACATCCAGACTGTGAGGCAAGACTGGCTTGGTGAGGGCAAAAAGGAAAGGATGAGCTAGTCTGGGATAAAAGGACAAAGGGATTACAAACTATAATGTGTTTGAGAAGAATCCTGTGGAAAGACTCATCGGGGACACAGGAATGCAGATTAGTTATTTGGAACTATCAAAGTGTCATCAAATTTTCTCAGTGTGAAAACCCAGGAAACAAACCCTGACATATTTAGGATCACAACTGGAAATGGCACAGCAGGAAACGGAGTCAGACAATGCTGTTATGCTGCCTCTGCTACATGGCTGGTAGTTGATGGGAGATGTCATTATGTATATATGTTTCTCATACTGGTTAATGAATAAAGTACTGTTGGCCAATAAGAAAGGAAGATAGGAGGGACTAGGAGACAAGGAGGATTCGAGGAAGTAATAAGGAGGAGTCAAGATGGAAACCCCAGCCGGCTCTCCGGTAAGATGAAATCACGTGGAAATACTTAGATTAACAGAAATGGGTTAATATTTAAGACAGAGCTAGCCGATAAGAAACAAGTAACTGGCCAACAGAATTATATCTAATATAGCGTCTCTCTGTGTATTATTTGGGGCTGGCGCAGTGGCGGGACAAGACCAGTGGCGGGACAAGACCAGCAGCGGGCGGAAAAGCCTACTCCTTACAGGTCATCATCTCTCCCTTCTTTGGCTTGTTTTTGTAATTAAAGTGGAAAGAAAACAAACAAGCAGCAATGGCCTGAAAGAGCTAGCTCAGTGGCCTCCAGTGCAGCGCATGCAGCTGCGAAGTCCTCCTTTCATTTCACTGGAAAGAACACACATGCTGGCTTTGTGTGCTGTCCTGGTTGGCCTTCAGGGTTTTGTTGTTGCTGTTCTGGTTTTTGTTTTTTTTTGTTTTTTGTTTTGTTTTGAGACAGCGTTTCTCTGTGTGACAGTTCTGGCCATCCTGAAACTCGTTTTGTAGACCAGGCTGTCCTTGAACTTATAGGGATCCACCTGCCTCTGCCTCCTGAGTGTGGGGATTAAAGGCGTGTGCCACAACCACCCAGCAGTCCTGGTTAGTTCTTTGTCAACTTGACATAAACCAGAGTCATCCAGGTAGAGGGACTCTCAATTGAGTAAATGTCTCCATCAGGCTGGTCTGTGGGCAAGTCTGTGGGGCATTCTTTTTGATTAATGATGAATGTCTCAGGGTCCAACAAAAATGTGTGCAGTACCACTCCTGGGTGGTGTAAAAAAGCAGGCTGAGAAGCCATGGGAAGCCAGCCAGTGAGCAGTGTTCCTCTGTGGTCTTCCTTTTCTTCCCCCAGCTTCCTACCCTGACTTTTCTCACTGATGGACTATGATTTGGACCTGCAAGCCAAATACATCCTTTCCTCTCCAAGTCTTTGCTTTTGGTTATGGTGTTTCCTCACAGCAACAGAAAGCATACTGGGTCATGCATCCACATACATACATACATACATACATACATACAGCATGCATGCATATCATTTCAAAGCCTGTGTGTAAATGAACAAATAAGCATTTTACATATGTAAAATTCTAAAGACTTTTTTTTTAAGACTTATGTACTTATTTCTCTATCTGGTTTTTACAAGGAAAACCTCAAAGTTTCTCACCATCACAAATGGCAATGATGTGAGTGAAAAGTTCACTTGCACATGTCTTGGTAATTCTCAGTTAAGGGCTACATGTCTCTATGAGAACTTTGCTTACTCAGAAACAAGTGGCCTGCCAGCCTCACTTGGGGATGCTTTTAGCACACAGATGTACTTCCTGCTTTTCTGTGATGTGTCACTGAACGGGGAAGCCTCTTTGATCCCTCTGCCAGAGGTGGGTATGAGGCTGAGCAGACCAGCATCAACTAAAGATGCTGACTGTAAAACAATTTGGGGGCATCTAGCTGGGCCCTTCCTCCCAAGACAGCTGTCTCAGCCACAATATTGTTGAAGGCATGTTTCTCAGTTAATTCAAATGCATGCATTTGTAGTATGAGATGTCCATTTCTGATGTGACACTTACTCAGACCCTACTGAAATCATACTTTACCACACAGGTCTGTTTGAAGGTCAGCAGCAGATGCCACACTGAAGAAACACTCCATGCAGAAGTGCACACATGCCTCTGAATCTCCACCAGTAACTCTCTCAGAATGATGAGCAATTGAATGTCAACTGGATTATGTCAATGGGATGCAAGGCAGTAATTTTAATGCTGATATGTACAGCATATCCAATCAGAAATGGAAATGATTTAAATACTGTGCCATAAACTGAGAAGCTGAGACATGTACCTGTTTCTATTCACTGTGTGTTTTGGGCTCTACTGTCTATACATATATATATATATATATATATATATATATATATATATATATATTAAGATTTTATTCTTTATGTGCATGTGTGTGCATCTGCCTGTGTGTCAGCATGTATGCATTCGGGTAGCCATGGAGGCCAGAAGAGGGCATCAGACACATTGAAACTGTAGTTACAGACAGCTGTGAGCGGCCTGATACTGGTACTGGGAACCAAAGCTGGTCCTCCATGAGAGCTACACACCTCTTAACCTTTGAGCCATCTCCCCAGCCCCCACTTATATGTTTATATTTGTCTTCTATTATTATTAACAACTCCTAACTAACACATACACAATTACTCAAAGAAAATTCCCTCATGTGTCTTCCCAGTCAATATATACCATCACTCTGAGCCAGTCACTATCCTAATTTTTATTTCATCACAGTCTCTTTGAAGAGAGCACGTGTTATTTGTCGTAAGGTACCTGGGCATGCTTCCAGGCTTGTCTCTATGGCAGTGGCACTTGTTTGCACCTTTTTACTTCTGAGAAGTGGTCTTCATGATATTGCACTGCACTCTGTAGAAGTCTAGTTTATTATTAACGAACACCTGAGCAGGTTGGGCTTGGGATCTTAAGGATAAGGGGCTGATTACCATATGACACTGGTAGTGATGATGGGGATGCAAAGAACATCCCTACAACACAACTTAAATATGACTTAATATCCAGCTTCTTAAACTGGGGGCGGTGTCACTGACTGTGGCAGCTGAGAGAATATTGGGTCTGAATGAGTCAAGGACTAAAAATGAATTCACAGACACTTTCATAATGAACCCTTGCACTTCTGCCAGCATACACCCATTTTGCAGCTTGCAACTCCACTGCAGCCTTTGTTTTCAGCACACAGCATGATCTGTGGCCATACCAAGGTGAACTTGCCTGATCTCATCAAAATGCCTCATACCTACTTTGCTACCCAAGCACACAAATGCCAATGGCCTGAGACACCTCAGCTCAGATCCAAGGCTACGGCAGAATATGAACTGCAACATATTTATCATTCACACAGTCTCCTGTTCTTTCATCTTTTAATTCTTCCCTGCCAATATTCTTCAGTGTGAATCAAGGTTGTATGACTCTTCGCTGTAATGTGTTACAATGTTTTGTTTTAAAAAATTGCTGTTTGAGTTGCTAGCTTTTCCTGACATAATAATGAAAATAACTAAGCAAAGTATGGCTTGGAATTAGGAGGGGCTTTCCAACAATTTCTGAAGTGGTCCTAAATATACTAATGGCATTTATCAAAGCAGCTTTCTCAACATTGACTTAACACTTATAAAACTTTATCAGGCTGGGTGTTGGTGGCACATGCTTTTAATCCCAGGGAGGCAGAGGCAGGAGGATCTCTGAGTTTGAGGCCAGCCTGGTCTACAAGAGCTAGTTTCAGGACAGGCTCCAAAGCAATGCAGAGAAACCTTGCCTCAAAAAACAAAACACTGTACCAGTCAACTCGCAAGTGTTAAAGATGCTCAATTATGCAAATATTAATTAAATATCGAGCAAAGATTTAGGATCAGTGAGACAGCACCGTGGGTAAGGGTGCTTGTGTATATGTAACTAACTGTCTGATATATCTGGGCACCCATGCCAGTCAAAGGGCAACCTTATGGAATTAGTTTCCTCCTCTCACTTTTACATCCTGGCACTGAATTCTGTTTTACTTTGCTTTGGCTATACAGAGCCATCTCTTTAACTTGATGACACTGATTTTTTTAATATTTATTTTTGAGACAGGATCTTAAAGGCCAGGCTGGCCTCCAATTCACAAGAGATTAGCTTCTGCCTCTCGAGTGAAGACTAGTGAGGACTTTAGTAAGTGAGCGAGGATTGAAGCGGTGCACCACCACACCAGGCTTGACACTAAATTTGTACCATGTATTTACTAGGTTTTTCTGTATCGTTCATTACACTTCATAGTCACAAGCTCATACTGACACCCATTCACTCTCACTTCCAGGAGGAGTTTCAAAAGTCCTGGCATGGTGACACATGCCTTCAGTTCCAGCACTTCGGATGCCACAGAGGCACGTGGAGGTCTGTGAGTTCGAGACCTGCCTGTGAGTTCGAGGCCTGCCTGATCTACAGAGTGAGCTCCAGGACTACCAGAGCTACATAGTGAACCCCTGTTTCAATAACAACAACAACTACTACTACTATTATTATTACAGGAAAAACAAACAAGCAAACAAAAAGGCTCAAGTCGTTTCTAAAGTCAGCAGCGGGCACGACCACCCGAAGGACGAGCCCACCAACCAGGAAGCCACACACACTCCCCCGCCCCGCCCCCTAGGACGCTCGGGTACGCACGTACTGGGCAAAAATGGCTGGGGTTGCGGGCATGTGGCTCGGGAGCGAGGCAGCTGGGGCCCCGGACCCTTGGGCGCTCTGCGTAGAATGTCCCAGGGATACGTCCTCCCGCCTCAGCCCCGCACCGCCGAGCTCTCACCTTAGCGCTACCTGGGCCGAGGACGAGGAAGAATCGGCTGGTTGGTGCACGGGCTCCGCGGAAGGACCGCGTCGGCTTCCGTAGTGGGCGGGACTTCCCGAGCCATTTAAAGGGAAGGTGCGGCAAGCAGTCGCGTTTTCCGCGGACGGAATAAAGTCCTTCAGAGGGGGGAAAAAGTGCTGAAGTTCTGGGGAAGAAATTGAGCAAATTGCTACTTACTTACCTTCTGCTGCTCCAGAGGCGAAGCGAACAGTAAAATGTGGAATCCCCGGAGTAGTCGCTCACTGCCAGTTACATTAATACCAATTTAATAAAATATGTAAAGTCTCTTACAATGTTTCATAAATATCTGGACAACCACTCTGCGGTATGGAATACTGCCATCTGCATATGAGCAGATCAGGCTAGTGAAAGCTCTGGATAGCAAGGTATAAACAAGCCTCCCTTCCCAAGGCGGCTCTCTGCTGACAAAAAGCGATGGATTCAGTTTTCAAGTGCTGTCAAAACTGGGAGAAGTCACAGCTCATGCACAGCGAGATGACTGCCTTGCCCAGAGTCACGGAAGAGGGCAGCCCGAAACTTCATGCCCCTCTGTGTTGCACCTGCTGGCTCTTGGGGCCTGCACCCATGCCACCAGAACGCTAAGTGTCTCCTACTTGGGCTTTAAGATCCTGCTTTTCTCTGTTCTTCAACAGGGGATTCCTCAGTGGGAGTACTTACATTCCCTTTATGAAGGGAAGCCATAGTGTTTATAGACCGTGTGTAGTCCTCTTGTCTTACTTAGTTCTCACCAAATAACTCAATCAGGGTCATACCCGGGTACAAATATTACTCTTGCATCAGAGGAAACTAGGGCAGCCTTAAGTAGCTTCTCCAGAGCCACATCTAAGTCTTCCTTTCCCCATCAGCTCACAGCCTCTGGCCCATGGCAAAGCCTAAAGCAATCCCAAAGCAAAGCCAAAGGCCTGGGCTGGGGCCTGCATGCCAGCCATTTCCAAGTGAAATGAAGAATTATTCTGCCAGAATTAGTTCTCGATGTTGGGAGATAAAGTGTGGAGCCTGCCCCCTGAGTAGACAGGTCCACAATGGCTGTTAAGTGCCCACATTTGCGATAACATTTATATAAGTACCGTACTTCTAAGCACTTAACATTGCATCAAGTTAGCTTAATCCTCAGGACACCCTCATGAGCTGCTACTTTCATTACCCATTTCACAGATGGGGGAACTAAAACATGAAGAAGTTATATGATTTGCCCCAACATCACACAATGAGCAGAGCCAAGAATGTAAGAAGGCTGGATATCTCAGTGATTAAAGGGTTTTTCTCTTGCAGAGGGGCTGGATTCTGTTCCCAGCACCCACAACTACCTGTAACTCCAGTTCCAAGGACGCCAGTGCCCTGTCATTATCTTGGAGGCATCTGCATGCACGTGGTGTACATGCAGCTGTGCAAGCACACATACACACATGAGCATAAAAATAAATTTAAAAGATTTTAAGCCTTTCTGCTCTCCAGAACTCTGCTTTAACCTCCATGAAATGGGATGTGAACTGTATTTATTTAATTATTTATTTTTATGGACATTGGTATTTTGCCTGCATGTATGTCTGTGTGAGGGAGTCAGGTCCCCTGGAACTGGAGTTACAGATAGGTGTGAGCTGTGGTACTGGGAGCTGAACCTGAGTTCTCCAGAAGAGCAGCCAATGATCTAACCACTGAGCATCCTCTCCAGGATGTGTCTAGTTTTAGGAACCGTTGGGAATAATGGGCTCAGCTTGGTGGTGGCAGGATTTGGAGGCTCTGGAGGCACATTAAGCAAGTAGGCCACCCCTGAGACTGCCTTTCTGCCTTTACTCCTTCTATAGCACTGGTTTGCCTGTCCAAAAAAAAAAAAAAAAAAAAAAAAAAGACTTCAGACTCTTTGGACAAATATTGGAGGTTTCTGTATTAAGACTTTCTGGTACCATCGCTGCCTCTGTTATGCTTGTCTCTTTCATGGCTCCAGAAAAAGTCCTGCAGGGATGTAATGTTTAACTAGCAGTTGTAAGTCCTCAATATTTTTTTCCAAATTTCACTTTTATTAAAAAGGTTTTACCAGGCTGTGGTGGTGTACTCCTTTAATCCCAACTTGGGAGGCAGACACAGATGGATCTCAGTGAGTTTTCCAGGGTATCTGACACTTTCACACCAAGCCACATAAAATAAAGTTAAATAATTCAAATAAAAAATTCTGTCTCAAATTAATTCCAAAACAAGTGGTCCTTATACACCAAAGATAGTGACAGTGATGTCCACAGCAAGCCGGCCAATGAGTCCAGCCTCCCAGAGGAGCTGCCAGGACACCAGAGAGCATGCCTTGGGACAAACTGATGAAGAAGGTCTGCCCATGCACAGGCATACACTCTCTCTTGTTTGGTGACTAGGGACAGTAACAGTTTTAAAAGCAAACCACATACTAATAAAATTCTTGGGTTTCTTTTGACATTGCATAGGTGCTTCATGGCCATGACTGAAGAGTCAATACAGAGTGGATTTAATGGCTGAGAAGACACACATTCACCTTCTGCCTACTGATATAGAGAAAGTGATGTAGGAAACAAGATATGTTGAGGTGAGGGATGGGCTTTGCTTGAGCGTTAGGAAAAGCATTCCAAATTTCCCAAAGAGAGCCAGCCCCATACCATGAGACTGCTATCATGAATCTGCAAATCTCTTGTTACTATCATGATAAGTCCTCATGTTGACCATTTCCTCTCAGGTGGGACCATGGGTCACCCACTCCAAACATGTGAACACCTATATGCTGAATAAACAAAACCAAACAAAACCAGCAGTAGGCTTAGCTGTGCTTTCAACATGTCTGGGACTTGAGGATAATCTTTTGTGTGACTTACATTTATGACATGGCTACTTTGGCAGGTTCCCCCAGTAGACCTGGAGAGCATCTGGTAGCTGCAGCCCTTCATGTACCCTAAGACTATATTAGGTCCGGAATACATTTCTTCATTGTGTATAAAGTCTCACGGCATCATAGTGAAGATCAAGTATGTCTTTCATCACAAACTGATGACACAATTATTAAAATACATCCATAACTGTAAATGAGCTTAGCAAGTGTATCAGCGTCCACATGGTGATAATTTTTTCAAAAACTTTCCTATGTGTTAAATGCAATATTTACAAGTGGAGATGCATTTCTCTTCCATGCATAGTCTTTTTGCACAACTGAATGAAGCAGAAAATGGGTTCAGATCTCTCCTTTGGAGAAACAAGATGGTGAGTTTTGGAGTGATTTACCTAACACATCACTGATTGTGTGTGTGTGTGTGTGTGTGTGTGTGTGTGCGTGTGTGCACAAATGTGTTGGACCAGTAGATCAGAGGTCAACTTTGGGTGCTGTTCCTCAAGCACTATTCTTTTGACAAATTTTGACAGTCTCTCATTGGTCTGGACCTCTCTCCCTCTAGGCTAGGATGGCTGGGCAGGAGGCCCAAGGATATTCCTGTCACTGCCTCCTCTACGGGGATGACAAGTGTGTACCCCCACACTCAACTCTTTATATGGATGCTGGGAATTGAACTCAGGACCTCATGATTGCCTGGCAAGCACTTTATCAACTGAGCTATGTCCTCAGCCCCAACTGCCTTCATTTTAAAAACCGTTGAACAAGTAATTCCTACTGTTCATAGATCACATCACACAGATCAATGAACATGATGAAAACTTACAAGACATTGCATGCTCTCTACTGTGGAGGTCACAGCAAAACACGACCAAGATATTACCTGGCATTTACACTTCATATATGGCCCAGCACCGCTTTTCAATGCCATGTGACATCGTCTGTTACTTCTTAAGCAGGGCAGGTCTGTTAATAAGTCCATTGATGATGGAATATTAGGACCGTCACTCTCTTTGAGGCAAACAGAATTAGTGACCAGTTGCTCTCCTTTCACAAGTTCCTGGGGTGTGGAGTTTTACATGTGTGCTTACAGAGAAGCCTGTCCGCTGTCCATTGGAGTTATTGTGTAAACCACACCCCCTCAAAGTGCTAAGTTCCCTTGGGCAAAGATTTTAAAGGCTGCTTTGTTGGCAGCCTTATGCATCCATGCCCTGCCAACATGGAAGTGAAAACTGTGTTTTTCTTCTTTCTTCTTCTTTTTTGCAACAGTAAATCTACCAATTTTACAGTCAGCTGAACAGCAATAGATTGATTTGTGTAAAGTCTGCGCTCACAAAGAAAACCTGGACTTCAGTAGCTTGAATGCCCGAGTCTGCCACGTGATCCTTGACGGGTAGACACTCTCACAACTTGCTGTCGAAGGATGCAGGCAGGCCACTGTCACCTGCTTCTCGGCCCAGGTGCTGACCCCTCGGGCAACAAGGGGCCTCCAGGCAGGGTGGCAGCAAGGCTGGGCCTTTGTGTGGGACAGAGAGGCCTTTTCCAATACAGGAGCCAGTGTTCTCCAGCAGCCTCAGGGAGCACAAGAGAGGAGAGGTGAAGGTCACCTTCTGGGTCACAGTGGGTTAAATTTAGTTAACATCAGAGGTTACAGCTTCTAACAAGAGCTTCAAGAAAACTTATTGGAAGATGCAATTTGTTCCTTCTTTGTCCATCATTTTTTTTCTTACTCTATTGAGAGTGACAGCTTAACAAAGGTTTTGCTTGCTGGGGGTTTTTCATCCATTGGAGGATAAAGGGCTCTGTTCCTAAAAAGAGATGCAGGTGGAAGGCTTTATAAACATCCATGATTTTCAAATTGTGAGCTTTAAAATAGGCTCCCTGCATGGCTAAGTCAAAAATAACCTACGAGGGATGTTGAAGAAAGTCCTCATTAGAAACAGGGGGACAGTTCACCAGAGGCAGAAGCTCAGTCTTCTAGAAGATTCTTTGTCTTTTCCCCTCATCTTAGAATAGAATTTCTAGCTATTTAGAAATCCCAGGGAACGTCCCTTACATGCCCATGGGGTGTAGGTATCTAAAGCATAATTCTGGGCAGGAGGTTTTACTTTTGTTTTTCACATTTCTATATAAGTCCAAAAA